AGCTACCAATTGATAAACTTAGGGGAAATTTTCCCATGGGCTCAAAACGTAGTTACAAAAGGGAGGAAATCCCATTTCTAACAGCACAGACATCAGATCCAAAGTCCCACAACAGAAAACAATAAAACCTAACAGATTTATCAACTTTACCCTACTTACACATTTTGAAGTCTCTTTTTCTTGGAGACAGATGTGTCTTCTTTCTCCCTCAGTATCTAGAGCAAATTTGCTCAGAGACAAAGGAGGGAAAACCAAAAATTCCTTTGTCCCAGTTTGAAATTCCTATCTGCATTTCTATTGGCTGACTGCTACCTGGCTAGGTACAGTTAACTCCTTAGTCCCCAGGCTAGCACTCTGGGTTATGACAGAGGCGGAGGCGGCTCTGCAGGAGCTGGTACGCACAAGGTGCCAGCTTAAAACCCAATGCCCCACAGACACCAGCTCCCACTGGCCTCGCATGCTGCTACTTCTGTGGGAGGCAGCAGCGGAGGAGAGGTAAGTCAGCTCTGTAAAAGCTGGCATGCACTGGAAGCCGGCTTGAAAGCCAGCTCCCACTTGCCCATACCATGCTGCTGCCTCTGTGAGAACTGGCACATGTGGGGAGACACCCTGCCCCCTTGTGCAACATGAGGAGAAGCAGATGTGTTCCGCAGGGGCAGTGCTCAGTGGGAGCCAGCATCATGGGGGGTGGGAAGGGAGGAAGGGGGAGGAGCAGGATGGAGCAGCTCCTTGGGTGTGTCTAGACTACATGGTTTTTTTGGAAAAAGCAGCCTTTTTCGAAAAAACTTCCCCTGCATCTAGGCTGCTGCTGTGCTCTTTGGAAAGTAAATCAAAATGGGGCAATTTTTTCGACCGCAGAAAATCTAGTTTTAACGAGGAAGAACACCTTTTTTTGAAAAAAGGCGCTATGTAATGCAAACTGTCGTTTTTTGAAAGAGCATCCAGACTACCTGGGTGCTCTTTCGAAAAAGCAGCTTGCTTTTTTGAAAGTACTGGTTGTAGTCTAGATGCTCTTTTTTGAAAGAGGTTTGCAGTCTAGATGTCCCCCTTCTGTCCTTAAGAGTTCTTTGTTTCCAGGTTACTGCATTTGTATCTTCTGAGGGTGGAGAGGCCATTTCAAAGGCCAACTGAAGACAAAAGACCAATTGCTTTCCATTCCTTAAATACTTTCCCCCAGCGTGGGAATCTTTTGTTTCCCCCCCCTTATCTTCATGGAAAAATACCAGATTCAAAATAGATTCTAGCACCAGGTGATATGTTTTTCTACAGCCAGCCACAGTTTGGGCTTACAGGAAAAACAAGCCCATGTACAGGAGCTGGCTTCTAAGATGCAACATGCTTATGGTAACTGGCTCTGTGGACATGGGGAAAACGCTGGATGTGATACCTTAAAATTTTTTGATGCAGTCTCCCACAGTATTTTTGCTGGCAAGTTAAGGTAGTATGGCCTGGATGAATGGACTATAAGGTGGGTAGAAAGCTGACTAGATCATTGGGCTCAATGAGTGGTGATCTAAGACGCACTGTCTAGTTGGAAGCGAGTATATCAAGAAGATTATCCCATGGTTCACTCTTAGGGCCGATTTTATTCAATATCTTTATTAATTATATGGATGATGGAGTGGTTTACACCCTCCGCAAGTTTGTGGATGACACAAAGCTGGGGAGCAGGAGGGAGAGGTAGATATGCTGGAGGGCAGGAATAAGGTCCAGAGTGACCTAGAACAACTGAAGAATTGGGCCAAAAAAAATCTGATGAGGTTCAACAAGGACAAGTTCAGAGTCCTCCACTTGAGATGGAAGAATCCCAAGTTGAGGTCACATTACAATTCCCAGAAGAAATGAAAATGTCTCCCCTAAAAAGACATGCATGTCACTAATGGCTTGTCTACATGAAAACTTAGTTTGATATACACCAGTGTAAGTCTACCACCACAGTAGCTTGCTATGATTTAAAAACCCATGTGGTCTCCACTGCTATGCATTAAAAGTTTCCTAGTGAACTTTAATCTACTCCCTTTTCAGTGCAGAGTAGATTAAAGAGAACTTTGTGTTCTCATTCATGTTTCTCAAATCCTTTTAATATTTTCAGATTTATTTCTCACTCATTTCTTCCTGATGAACTGTCTTTATAAATAAAGCAAACAGGCAACATCAGCTGATCCAGCTAAGAACTGCATTATGCTCTTATGCATAATTATATAAACAGGCACAGAAAAGAAATCAAGTCCATAATTTTACCATACTAAGAAGTGGAGTGGGGGGCCAGGAGACACACTTCTGAACTCATGGCAGGAATTTCCTTCCTGTATGCCACAGTGGAGAAATACAGCATTGGCACTTGCTACATATAATTTCAACTCCAGTTCCCTTTTTGTTGCAGAAGTTTGTGTTAAAAGGAGGCACTGAGCTAATACAGGTTGCACCTCCCAAAACCAGCACTCTCCAATCTGGCAATCCTCAAGAGTCTAGTGGAAGGAGGGCCAGCATCCAGAAGTGGGATCGGGGGCTAGAGCCCGTGGCAGCGAGGCCAAGGTTGGAGCCTGTGGCAGCCGGCAACAACCACAGTCAGACCAGATGGGACTGGCTGGGGCAACACAGGTCAATGCGCTGAGGGATGGCTGGCTGGGGGTCTGGTGACAAGGGAACTCCCCCGGTCCAGCAAATTCAGGACCAGTGAGGTCCCACGGGTGCCGGACCAGGGAGATCCAAGCACGAATCTCTGAAGCATTAGTGATCACCACGCCAGTCACTGGACCCCACGGCTGCATTTCACAGTCCCTACCTCCAACGTGTGGCACCCAGAGAGACTGGAATGCACTGGAATCCCATCCAGTGAAGGGATCACTGAAACCTGTACTCTTGGCCATACGCCTCAATAAGTCTCGATGCACCCTATTATCCTTTGGGGACAGCAATGTTGCTGCCCCAGCTACCGCCTCAGGTGACAATGAAGAGGAGGGATCCTGCAGATCCTCTTCTTTCAGTTCCACCTTCAGTACCGGGATCAGTACATGCCCTTGGTCACCTGCACCGGACTGCGGCGAAGCAGGTGGCACTGGGTGCAGAGACATTCCTAGAACCCGGTGCCGTTGGTCCTTCCCGGACTGGGAGGCCGGTGCACATCTGCACTGAGAACTCTGTGCCAAATAGGACCCCACCAGTTCCCCGAACAGCTGCATAGCAGGTATCTGCAATGCCAGTGTAGTCAGACACCCCGTTATGGCAAGGTCTCGACTCAGAGCCACTGAACGAGTGCCCCTGCTGCCCGAAGCTACGGAAACTGACCTGGAGCCCCCAGCTTGTGTCTGGTGGCAAGCCTAAGGAGTCCAGCACGGCCACTGAGGCGGGGCCTGCAACTGAGGAGGCCATTGTAGGGTCAACTCCTGTCTCCTCTTTGGAGGGACCTGTGCTAAGCAACGTCTCCTCTTGGACTGGTGGCTCTCTGGTTCCGACTCACGTGGATATGGAACACAGGGGACCACGGACAAGTGGTACCACACCACACCAGTACCCTCTGTGCAGGTGTGAGGTCACCAGGACTCCTCCTCCTGGTACAGGAGCCCTCCCGGGACTGGTGCCAAAACCATCCCTGCTAATTAACCAGTGCTGCCTGTGAAGAGGACCCCTCACAGGAGCGGTTGAGAGGTCGTTGGTCTTGGCTCTGCGACCAGTCGACCGGGAGGACTCCGCCCAGTACAGGGGTCCTCACCAGATTGGTGCCACGGTGAAAGGGACCTTCTTAGCATGGGAGGCTTGCCCCTTGACTGTACCAGGCCCGGTACTGGCAAAACCCCCAGAGACTCACAGGGGAACACTAACCGGCCAGACTTCAGCTCGATCAGGTCCCAGGCAACCTCATTCATTTTGGGAGTGGATGGCATGTCCACATCTCCGATCTGGAGTCCACTTGCACCAGAATTGACGAGACTGGAAATGGTGCCGGAGTCAACAGCACCATATGGACAGGTTGCTTCAAAGGGTGCCCCTACCCACGACACGACCATTTAAGCTTTTTAGCTCTAGAAGTAGGAGACCAGCCACCTTTCCCATCGCTGTTTCTTTTTCTGCACCGGAAAACAGGATGGATGCCAAGAGCTGGTCTTTGGTGAAGGGTGGTGCCGGGGTCACTTCTCCAACTCCTTCTGCAGAGCCAGTGCATGCCGCCCCAACGAAGGCACAGAGCACCAAGGCTGCTGATTCCAGTCCTGCAGTGCCGTACAGGGATCTAAAGATGCCTCCATTAACAGATCTCAGAGGTGAAACTCTCTGTCTCGTCTAGTTCTTTACGTAAAGGCCCTACAGATCTTACACTTGTTTGCTAAGTGGGCCACTCAAACACTTTAGGCAAGAGTTGTGTGGATCACCTGGGGACAGAAACTTAGTGCACTGTTTGCACTGCTTGAAGCCGGGTAGCGAAGGCATGCCCCGGCCCCCAAATGGGGGAAATAGTCTCCTAATGCAAACCTAACAACTACTTAATACTTCAGAAACTAACTACAAAGCAACTAAGGAAAGCACTCTTGCCCAAGGCAAGAGAAGCTAGCTCCGACAACCATCACTGGCAGTAAGACGGAACTGAGGGAGGGGGCAGTCAGCAGGGTGCTATATACTGGTTCCACTCCAGGGGTCCCCCCGCCAACCTGTAGTATCCAGTGAGGGAAAATCTTCCTGGCAACTGTGCATGTGGCACGCACACACCTAATTTGGAATGCACATGAGCAATCACTTGACGAATGGGTTTAAACTGCTCCGGAAGGACAGTCAAAGGGAAAACTGAAGAAGTTGCCCTGTATGTAAGAGAGCAGTAGGATTGCTCAGAGCTCCAGTATGAAATTGGACAAACGCCTACTGAGAGTCTTTGGGCTAGGATTAGAGGCGAAAGTAAAAAGGATGATGTCATGGTGGGCATCTGCTATAGATCATCTACACTAGGAGGATGAGGCAGATGAGGCTTTCTTGGGAAAATGAACAGAAGTTACCAGACTACAAGCCCTAGCTCTCATGAACGATTTAAATCACCCTGACATCTGTATGTCTGGTGTTGCCCACAGGGCTTCTGGAGTCTACTGTGCCTCTTGGTGCTGAAGGCCATTGACACTGCCCGGTGAAGAAAATACAGGCTGGGGACGGGTGAACTGCTTCACTTGAGTTTAAGTTAGACTTACTGGTGGAGGTGATGAGCCACACAATGTGGGTGTAGGCTCCCCTCCCTACTTCTCCTTGACTTTTGGGATGGATAGGCATGGCTTTTTGCTGAGGACTGCCTTCCTCACCAGGGCTACATCTAGACTATGCCGAAGTTCCGAAAGAGGATATGCAAATTCTGTGGAAATTTGCATATTTCTTCCAATCTCACTTTTGAAAGTGGAGCTTTCGAAAGTGAAAGTAGTTGGAATACATTTTACAAAAAAAATAAGGTTTACACGGCTTTTTAAAAGGGATGGAGGGGTTGCTGGAAAAAAAAAATACATCCCGAGTACTTTCACTTTCGAAAGTGAGATTGGAAGAAGATATGCAAATTCCTGCAGAATTTGCGAATCCTCTTTTGGAACGTTGGCATAGTCTAGATCTGTGGTCCCCAACACGGTGTCTGCGGGAGCCATGGCGCCCGCGGGGGCATTTGTCTGCGCCCGCCAAGTGCTCAGGGCTGGCCTGGCCTGGCCCCGGGCACGTGGCGCACGGTGAGCGCCGGCCCCGGAGGCGCCGCGGATTGGCCACCTGCACTCTGGGCACGCGGCGC